GCCCAGCAACTACGACGCGTCGGCCGCCATGCTGCTGGGCCCGCTGGGGCCCGACCCGACGCTGCAGCTGGGCCACCTGACCATGTGCAAGACTGTGGTGGAGGACTCGTGGGGCAAGGTCTTTGTCGGCGGCCTGCCCAGCGACTGGAGCGACGACCAGGTGGGGCGGCACCCAGGGCTGGGGCCGAGTGGGGCCGAGTGGGGCCGAGGGGCGGGGGCGGGGCGCTTGCCCTGTTTTGGAGCCCGCCGCCAATGTGGGCCGGGTGGCTTCCGCCGCGGTGTCGTGGCGGTTTTCTGATTGCGCTTGCGCGAGGGGGCGCGCCGCCGGCGGGCGTGGCCGCGGCCACGGCCGCAGCCGGGGTCGCCGGCCCCTGAGGGCGTTTCATCAGAGAGCGCGTAGGGCCGCCCGCATGCCGGCGCGACCCCGGCCGCCCATACGGCGTGCACATGCGCATGTGCCCACGTGCGCAGGTGAAGGACCTGCTGAAGCCGTTTGGCCAGCTGAAGAGCTTTAACCTCGTGATGGACAAGGCCACGGGCAAGTCCAAGGTTGGTGGCCGTGCCGCGCATGCGCATGCGGCCCCCAGCCCCTCCCTCACGGCCCCCCGCCTGCGCGGCGCATTTGGGGTTAGTGCGCACCCATCGGCTGCTGCGCCACCAAAAACGGCTCCGCGTGCCGCTCGCGTGCGCACACGTCCCGCCCGCCCGCCTGGCGCCAGGCCGGGCCCCACAGCCTGCCACAACGAGCCCCGACATGATCCCAAATGCTCTCTTTTTTGAACCCTGTCCCCTTGCATCCAACAACGCTTCGTCCAATCCGCGCCCCAGGGTTACTGCTTCTGCGAGTTCGAGGACGACAGCTGCGTGGAAGCTGCCATCGCCGGGCTGCACCTCAAGAGCCTCAACCGCAAGATGCTGACGGTGAAACGCGCCCTCGACGGCCCCGCGCCGCACCGCTCCAACAGTGGCGGCTCAGACTCGGGCAGCCTGGGCGGCCGCCGCAACAGCGGCGGCGGTGCGCCGCTGGGGGCGCCGAGGGACGGCGCGGGCGCTGGCGCGGGGCCGGGCGGGTACGCGTACGGCCGCGGCGGCGGGGGCGGGGCAGGGGCCGGGCCCGGCCTGCTGTTCAACCAAGCGGCCGCGGCCGCTGCGGCGGCGGCGGCCGCTGCGGCGCACCAGCATCAGCAGCAGCACCACCAGCAGCACGGCGGCGCGCCCTACTCCATGGGGCTCCCGCCGGCGCCGCACGGCGCCGGTGGCGGCGCGCCCGGCCAGAACGGCTGGCGAGGGAAGCCGCTCGGCGGCGGCGGCCCGCAGCAGGGGGTGCCCCCAGGCCCGCAGGATGCGGCGGCGGCGATGGCTTGCATGTTTGGCTTCGGGGGCCCCAACCACCCATACGCGCAGCCGGGCCCCGGCGCCGGCATGCGCCCCGCGCCTATCCAGCTCCCGCCCGGCGCGTACGGCGGCGTGGGCGCCCCACACGCGCACGCCGCGCCGCACGGCGCCGCCCCGCGCGCGCCAACGGGCGTGCCGGCGGCCAACGGGCCCCGCGCCGCGGCGGGCCACAGCAGCCCGCCGACGCCCAGCCCGCCGGCGCCACTGCCCAGCCAGCCGTCCCCTGGGACGGCCGGACAGGTGTACGAGCCAGCTGGTGCGGCCGCGGCGGGCGGCGGCGGCGCGTCCACCCCAGGAG